CATGGGCGGGGTTAGAACTCTTCTGAGACACATGTTTAGAATAGAATTTTCAGGCCTAATTTTTGGCAGATCTCTCTCTAAGTCCCAGGCTATAGAGCTTCTGTGGATTCCTTTTTTTTCTCTCTCTCTTTTTTTGGGGAGTTGGAGGTTATCTCTACCACAAACTGTAGCTTACCAGTGAATCATTTTGAAGTAAAGGGGCTGGAGACAATGAAATATGCCAAGAAGACCATTGGGAAGGCAAAGTTATTTGTATAAATTCTGACTCAAATTGTATTCCTTTTGTTCACTTCAAGGAAATTTTCTTATTGTGGTTGTTGAGGTTTCAAAACCAAGGTTGAGAACCACAGTCAGAGATCCCTGAGGGAGCTCAGCAGAGCTGAAATCACCCCTAACGTACTGGGTTTTCAAAATTTTGGGGTATTAGATAAACGGAGTTCTACTTTTATCTTAACTAATTACAAAAGGAATTAATGAAAGTCCACTGGTATTAGGTTCACAGATTTTCAGTGATTATCACCTGCGAGATCACAGATCTGTGGGAAATGGGAAAACTTTGGGGAAGAAAGTGTTGAAAAAATTTTACAACCACTCAGCTTATGAGATGATTAAACCTTTAAAAGTTAATTATTTTTGAACATTAAGAAGAATCAAGTGACTGTAATTTGCTGTCACAGGCTCATTTGTTGGACTTTAAAGTGTACAGAATGGGATGAAGAGAGTGGGTTGATGTTTACACCAATGTCTGAAGGACGTTACCAGGACCCCTGATGTGTGCCATCAGTACCAACCTACCTCTAGTACATTCTAAATTACCCTTTTCTTTCATTTTACAAGCCAACTTTCTGAAGTGTAATAAGGGAAGGAAAAGTGGCAGTACTTTCTCTCAGCTCTAAATTTTCCTTCTCTGGAATAAGATCCTTGACCCCAAATAAACCAGCTTAGTGACTCAGCACATTTCATGTATTCCATTCCTAAGGATTCCTTCATTTTGATATTTCAATCAAATGATTAGATAATAAACTTCAAACAAGTAGAAATTCTTAAGAAAATGACAATTTATAAAACATGAAACAAATGAAAACTATGAAATATATTCTGGAAATGGTAGTTAAAATGATAACATTAGGGGATTTCTTCCCCTTTTCTTGTGTTGAAACACTTCAGAATACCTGTGTATACAAGCATTTAAAAAAGAATTACATTCACAAAGGGATCATTGGGCAGCAGGCTTGATTGCAGTGTAAGTATGTGTGTGTGTGTGTCTGTGTGTGTAGGCTTGTTTCATACTGAGTATCCAGTGGCCAATTTTTTGGATGGGACTTTAGGGCAATTAAGATTCTGGTTAGCTTTCATGCCAGGCACACAAGTTATAACAATTTATTAGTACAATTTGCTTTGCCTTTTAGAGTGGCTAATTTAAAGGACATTTTAATGAAACATGGCCCCATACTTGAAGAATGGGCAAGAAGGCCAACAAAATTTATTCTTTTCTTCCTGCAACTTCACCAAATAATTGACTTGGAATCAGAATTAAAAGAACATTTGATATTTATGAAATGTATACTTACTCTGATACTTCTGACTAGCTGTGCAACAAATTCATGACAAATTACCAGATTTTTTTTTTTTTTTTCTGAGACAGAGTTTCACTCTTGTTACCCAGGCTGGAGTGCAGTTGCATGATCTCCGCACACCACAACCTCCACCTCCCCGGTTCAAGCAATTCTCCTGCCTCAGCCTCCTCAGTACCTGGGACTACAGGCATGTGCCACCACACCTGGCTAATTTTTGTATTTTTAATAAAGACGGGGTTTCACCATGTTGACCAGGATTGTCTTGATCTCTTGACCTCGTGATCCACCCGCCTTGGCCTCCCAATACCAGATTAATTTTATTTTATTTCTTCAGGACTGGGGTTTTTTGATGATTTCAAATTTAGGATCTTCGAATTTGAAATTAAGTAATGTATTCCTGTCTGCTTTAAGCTTTAGAAGCTCACTCTCCAGCTCTTGCTGGTGCTCTGGGCCAGTATCAGCAGGTCCTCCGGATCCCTGTCACTTAGATTTGTATTCACAGTCTTGTCCATGAAGAGTTTCTGTATGGGATAAAGTTCCTTGTTAAATGCCACTGCCGTAACACCAATGGTTCTCTACAAATTGAGTGAGACTACTGACCGAATGACAGAGGAAAATCTGAAGTGCTTCTGAAGAATCATGGTGACTCTATGTGCCTGAGCTACCACCACTGCCACTGCTGTCAGAATTTATTCTTTACATTATGAGGCTTTACTGAAGATGTGTCACTAAAGTATAGGGAGGAAAGATACAATCAGAGGTCAAACAGGAGACCCACTAGGAAGCAGTCTGTTGTTTCTTCATAATATTTTAAAATAACAGAAAATCAGAATTAAGAGTTAAGTTGGGCTGGGTGTAGAGGCTCACACCTGCACTTTGGGAGGCCAAGGTGGGAGGATCACCTGAGCTCATAAGGTCAAGACCAACTTGGGCAACATAGTGAGATCCCGTCTCTACAGAAAATTTTTTTTTTTCAATTAGCTGGGCATGGTATGTGCCTATGGTCCTAGCTACTCAGGAGGTTGAGGTGGGAGGATGGCTTGAGCCCAGAAGGTCAAGACTGCAGTGAGCAATTATTGCACCACCGCACTCCAGCCTGGGTGACAGAGTGAGACAATGTCTCAAAAAAAAGAAAAAAGTCAAATCGAAGGTGTCCAGAGCTTGAGAAAACTTGGAATGAGCTAGGTAGGTTTATCCAGGTTCTTGAGATTTGTCTGCCAGTGAAATCTCAGCCCATCTAACTGAGATGAATTTATCTGCCACCCAGGTGACAAATGGAAACCTCTCAGGGGGTCCACTCTTGAGATCTTATTAACCCCACGGAGACACTGTTTTTTTTCCATACTGAATCAGAACTATTTTCAGTATACTTCAGTTAGTTTCCTCAGAGTTACAGAGTTACATGGCAACTTCACATAGTAAAGAACTTAAGCGAAATCAATGGAGCTGAATGCAGGACCTGAATTCTATGTATCTGAATATAAATGCAAACATTCTTTCAGCATTAGTTCCACAGACATTTAGTGAATATAGATTCTGTACTTGTTGCTCCCATTCTTTAAATTTTTAAAAATAAACTTTACCTTTAAAGTTTTATTTATTTTTTAAGTATTTTTAAAGTTGTTTTTTTTTTTAAGTTTTAAAGTATGTAAGCCTATAAAATAGGCTTTATTTCGATTCCTTACTTTTTACCTGGTTTCTGTTTTCTATTTCAGGATCCTATTCGGATCAAGCTGCCATTAATAAATACTGGTCAGGAATTTTGTAGAATGTCCCTTAATTGGGGTTTTCTGATTTTTTTTTTCCATCATTACACTGAGAATTGTGGGTTTGGGGAAGAAGACCCAAAGGTAAAGTGCTGTTTTCATCACACCATATAAAAGGTACATACTAACAGAGTTCTTTGTCACTGTTGACGTTGACCTTGATCACCTGGCCGAGGGAGCGTTGGTCTGGTTTCTCCACTGTAAAGTTATTCTTTTCACCTCTCTTTCCACACTGTGTGTAGCCCACACATAAAGAAAAAGTTGGGAGTTAATCTGTATCCTTGTGGGTGTGGTATCCTTGTGGGTGTGATATCTACAGAAATTACTTGGAATTCTTCTACATGAGAAATTTGTCTGTTCCCTCCATTACTTATTCAGTCATTTATTTATGTCTATATAGAGTCATGGATATTTATTTTGCACTTTGGGTAATAATCGAATACTACTTTATTTGTTGTCAAAGTGTTCCATTTTTGGTAGCTGGGAACTCTTTTAGTTGGCTCTTGTATCCTTTTCACCTATCATCAACATTGTATGTATTTTTTTTTTAGGGTGGTGAAAGTGTTCTTTGATTCTTGAATTGTAGATACACGACACTATGCATTTATCAAACCCACAGAACATTAGAGTGCACAGAGTAAACCTTAATGTATGCAATTTTAAGAAAACCTTGAGGTTGGAGTATCCTAGGATGGAATGCAGAATGTGACAAAACAATCTAGCTGTGTTAAAAATGTATGCAATTTTGGGAGGCCAAGGAGGGCAGATCACGAGGTCAGGTCAGGAGATCCAGATCATCCTGGCCAGCATGGTGAAACCTCATCTCTACTAAAAATAGAAAAATTAGCTGGGCATGGTGGCGGGTGCCTGTAATCCCAGCTACCTGGGTGGCTGAGGCAGGAAAATTGCTTGAACTGGGGAGGTGGAGGTTGCAGTGAGCTGAGATTACCCCGTTGTACTCCAGCCTGGCGACAGAGTGAGACTCTGTCTCAAAAAAGAAAAGTGTGAAATAACCTTACCAAAGGGAATTTTGGGTGTAGTAGGGGGAGGTGCAGATCTATTAACTTTGGAAATGAGTAGAGTCTATAAGAATAAAGGCAAAAGAAACTGTACAATAATCACTGTCCTCTAGTTGATACAGTTTTTTTTCTCACAGGCAAAAAGGTTAAGAATTTTGATACCACTCTACATGTATTTCACAATTAAATAAATGGATTGCAGCTAGTAGCTGCCAGGTTTCTCTCTTTTGGAATGGGTGCTTACAGATAAGCGGGGGGAAGAGGCTAGAGTGATCCATGTGGTAACAGATTCGAGTTATAGATATCAACATGCACTCCTGTTTAGCTAATACAGATACACACAGTTGAATATAGAAATATTTTGTATATATGTGTATATACATAGGTTAGGATACACATATATGTTTTCTTGATCTGTCAGTTAGGAGTCTCTAGAAGGAACCACACCCTAGAAGCATATATAAGATGAGCCTGCCCGTTTTATTTTTTTTTTTTAAGTGAGTTTTATCTATCATATTTTATGTGAATTTTAGCTTCAGATCTATGGAATTTACAGCTTAAATAAATGTAATTATTAAACTCTGCTCATTTGATACTTCATAGTTAACTTATTTACATGTGGATGACAATATAAAATCTATAGTCAGTTAAACTTTAATTTTAAAATTGATAAAAATAAGTCTGTGAACAAGTCTATGGCATGCAAGATGTTTTCTTGGAAGGTTTGGGAAAATTGGAATGGAACATTATTAGTTAGATGCTGCTCTCCTGAAGTCCATGGGTTCTTCCTTCTAGGAGGGATTTCTTCTCCTTAGGGTACATCAGGCACTTCCCTATCCCTGCGTCCCTCCTCTGTCCAGACTTGGGGCTGTTATTTTTGCTTCTCCCACATCCAGGGCCCCTCACATCCACTCTCTGTGCTGCCTCTACAAGATAAATTCAAAATTCTTCATGATTTATTATTCAGAACCACTGAGCACATTTGCCCTAATTCTTTCCTTTCAGATTATGCTCAGAAACTTTAGCATTTAAAACAAAAAGAGCTTCACCAAAGTTTCCTGTTGTTTGTTCTTTTTCTTAAGACAATCATCTAGGTAGAACTTACAACTGTAGCAATATTAACCATTGGTGGTGGAAGCTTTGACAATATAATTATTTGACATGTTGCTTCAGTCAGGAAATCGATTATTAATTTTTATTAATATTAATATTTATTAATAATATATTATAATTATTACTATTTTCCTGCCCTGAGGTGTGTTGAGTATTTTCTTGTTTTCTTATTACATGTAGACATATGTCATAATATGAGTAATTTCTTCTTGCTGGGCTTCTATGTGGTATTCATTTTTTTCTCCTTAGAGAATAGGGGATGTAAAGACCACATCAGAACCTCTGCAGATGCATATAGATTTTTTTTGTTGTTCAAATAAATAAAGGTAATAGTAATAGATAAGAAATTAAAACATTTTGTTTTCAGCAAGATGGCATTATAGACAGTGGCATCATGTGATTCCAATTTATGACAACAGTGGTTGTACCAGGCTCCCAATTCATGTCTATTTTATGTGAATTCAATTTTATGGGCTCTGTAAAAAATAGAAAGCAGGGAGGGGAGGTAGGGAGGAAAATAATAATTCATAGCTCAGGGTGGCTGCACTCATCATTTGACTTTGACAGGATAAAGTCTATGGTGAGTGCGACACTGCAGATGTGAATGTGCTGTTCCTACCATGCTTCTCAGAGTGACAGCGTCTTGGCACAAGGGTGAGAGCCATGCTCACAAAGATCTTCATTTTCTGTACAACATAGCCTCCCTGTGAAAGTTGCCCGTTTCACCTGGTGCCTGACCGCAGTTAGCTCCGCAGAAGAACTGCTTGTGTTGAGCTTGCTGAGAGATGACATGGTAGCTTCTAAAGGGATTTTGAGGAAGTCTTTATTCATCCCTGATTTTCACCTTAGGATAGAAGTTAAGGCTGCATTTGATGAAGCATACATTAAATTGTCACTGCACTGGCTCAAGTTATCCAGGAAAGGCTTATCCTAGCCTCAGAGGCCTTGCTTCCTTTTATCTGGATTTTTTATGACTTTCTAGGAACTACGTCTAGTAATATTGAAAACTGTGGTGTCTTGGTGACTTAACAATGCAGTAGAGAAGTAAAGCAAATCTTCCTCTTCGAGCTCCTTCACTTCTTCCCCTCCCCTTTTTTCTGTCTTGGTATGATTTTCTTGGAACTTCTTTGCACATTGCCTTGTCTCAGTTTTGAAAATCAAACAATTACTCCTGAGAGTCAAATTGAGACTATTTCAGTGGCTGGGAGCCGTGGCTCATGACTATAATCCCAGCACTTTGGTGGGCCATGGCAGGCAGATCACTTTTGGTCAGGAGTTCAAGACCAGCCTGGCCATGGTGCATGCTTTGTAATCCCAGCTACTTGGGAAGCTGAGGAGACAGGAGAATTGCTTGAGCCTGGATGGCGGAGGTTGCAGTGAGCCAAGATCACATGACTGCACTCCATCCTGGGTGATAGAGACTCTGTCTCAAAAAAATAAACCAGAATATGATACTTCGATAATTAAAGTGATACTAGTGTAAGAATAGAAAAAAAAAAAAAAAAAAAAAAAAGTGTTTCAGTATCTATAATGTAGAAGAGTAATATATGAAAGGGAAACTTTATTTACATTCACATTTAAAGCTTGTTGAAAATTCACTTAAGTTCTTCACTGTTACAATCTCATTGGATCCTCACAATAGCCATTTAAAGTACAGATGTTATGATTCCATTTGATGAGACAACTAAGGTTTAGAAAATGTGAATGACTTGGTTAGGGCCCCTAACTAAGTGATGGAGCCATTATTTGAGCCCAGATATATATGTTTCCCAAATTAATGATTTTTCTTTTTAGCTTGTGGTACATTAAAAATGTAAGTATCCAATCATGGATATTGGCCTGAAGTTTTCTTTTCTTGCTGAGTCTCTGCCAGGTTTTGGTATCAGGATGATGTTGGTTCATTGCAGCATTTACAGTAGCAAAGACTTGGAACCAACCCAAATGCCCATCGATGATAGACTGGACAGGGAAAATGTGGCACATATAAGCCATGGAATACTATGCAGCCATGAAAAACGATGAGTTCGTGTCCTTTGTAGGGACATGGATGAACCTGGAAACCATCATTCTCAGCGAACTGACACAAGACCAGAAAATCAAACACTGAATGTTCTCACTCATAGGCTGGTGTTGAACAAAGAGAACACATGGACACAGGGAGGGGAGCATCACACACTAGGGTCTGTGGTGGGGGAACTAGGGGAGGGACAACAGGGGATGGGGAGTTGGGGAGGGATGGCATGGGGAGAAATGCCAGATGTAGGTGATGGGGAGGAAGGCAGTAAACCACATTGCCACGTGTGTACCTATGCAACAATCTTGCATGTTCTTCACATGTACTCCAAAACCTAAAATGCAATAAAATGTATATTTAAAAAAATGTG